TTTTTTAATGTGTACAGAAGACCTTTGAACAAAATGTTTTATAGACTATAGTGTTATACTATACCTACTCAAGTTATTATAATTTATAGTATATGTAGTATACATATATTAATATAAAATACTTGTAATATATTAAATTATTACCAATTGCTTGAGCCATTTCTTTGTTCATACTCGTATCTTCATTTATTTCATTTTGTAAAATATTTACTATTACACCAAAACTATTATGACATACTGCTTTACAATTTTAAAGACGACACGACCACCGCCTTTCACATAATCTAGAAATCGATAATGATTTTATTTGCATGGATTTCTGTAAATCTTGTAATAGCTTATCTTTGTCAGGCAGTGAAAAATTTACATAAACTGCTTCTAGAGTATTAAAAAAGGTATTAGATTCATGTAAAAGATAATGATTACATTGATTATAAAAAAGAATGGGAACATATATTATAAATTGTAACGTACATAAAAATATATTAAATATTATTTAAGTATTTATTATTATTTGTTATGCACCTTAATAGTTCTACATGTATTTGTTACAACCAAATTTTTCCATATATAAAACAATATGAGTTAGTAAATAAAGTTATTTTTATCACTAGGTATTCGAGAAAAGTCTGAACTCATCCATTTTACAACTATTTTCATGCAATTATTAATCATATGAGTCTGATCTCTCGAAAGTTGAACTGAACCATTTAAGCTAGGAACAAAAGAACCTCTAACAAGGAAAATATGTGATATTATTTTCATTATTCCAAGACAACAGAGATGCATGTAGTCGAGAGGAAAGGAAAAAACCAATTCAAAACCATGTATTAAAAGTAAAGGTGTAACTCCAATGTGATGTTTCTCATTAGTGCGTTACAAAAAAGACTCGTCAGTACGCAGTTCAGCATTATCATAGGGAAAACAAATATTACTTAACAAATAAACACCTTTTTTCATTACATTTTTCACAACCAAAATAACCAGAATGGCCTTTTATTTGTTTTTAAAAAGCTTGAGCTGGTGCATCAGCTATAATACTTTTAATTTTAACTTTCAAAGTTATATTATTAAATTGAAGGTCATTTTGAATGAGATCATTTAAATCATCAATAAATGGGAAAAGATATTTTTTGACATAATATAATTTGTTTGATCCAAAATAAACACCAATAATGAATGGCTTCTATATTGATGAGTTTATAGGACTACATAATATTGGCCAAAACGATATTACTCCTTTATTAATAGGAAGGCCATCAATGTTAACCAATAACTCAATTTCAGATTCAGACAGACTCTATATAGCTATAGTATTTAACAAATATTTTAACCCTTTTAAAATTCCAAAATAAATATATTGTCTGCCTCCAATATTATTGATTTCAACATGACCTGGCCTAAGAGTAGATAAAAGAGTTTTGGTACCCATGGGAAGTAACTTTAAACATTCCAAATTATCAACTGATAGTAATTTTAAAAGCTTTTTGGYTTTTGCACTGTTCCTAAGAAGTCTCGAAGAAACAATATAAAAGATACTCACACATTCTGAAAATCATTTGCATCAGTAATATTAATATTCTGATTGAAATTAAAAATTGTAAAACTGTCTGAAATTGGTTCATTTATAGTCTGAGTAACTTCAATAATACACAACTGCTGTGTTAAAAAATACTCTTATAAATTAGTGTTTAAGGACATCWTTGATTGGTCATTGTTAGAAAAATCTTAATTATTTTCTGGAGCAATTTCTCTTGAATTCACAGTAGTAGACTTTTCAATTTGGTGAACACAATAAATATCCAAATCATTGTTCATATCAATAAAGTTCCTAACTAAATGTTTTTTCCTTTGATTTTCTATAAAAAAAAAACTACAACTTGGCTTTGGCATTTTAAAAACTATCAGCTAAAAAGTTTTGAACCTTTTAAGACTTATATGCACATATATGAGTAGGTAATTAAAATTATTTATTATAAATTTATTTTAAACCTATACTAGGCATGTATCAAATATTAATTATTAAAATATACTAGCTGATCCCCGTGCTCAATACATTTTCAGATTTATATAATTATAAACTTAATTAAGTTACACTCAAAATTTATTGTGCACGGGGATCAGCTAGTACCTATATTTTAATAATTAATATTTGATTCATACCTAGAATARGTTTAAAATAAATAATTTTAATTACCTACTCATATATATTATAGGTATATACAGGCGTATAGTTATGTAAAACATTGTATTTATGGTATGAACATCTAGACATGCTATGTTTATAATAGTATAATATTACCATTGATTATAGAATAGACTGTTCTATAATCAATGATATTACTATATACTTATTACTGTAAACAAATTAAATAACAATACTATAGGTACCTCTAGGTACTATTGTAACTAGGGTTTAGATTTAAAGGCAAAAGCCTTTTATTTTTTGATACCAATAGAAAAATAATTTTCAAATTAAAATATATCTAATTTAATTTCTAAGATACCTAATGGATRAACATTTTTTTCTCTTTTACTTATCAATACCTTTGCTTTTTACTTTTCAATTTTTATTCATTTAAATATCAATATTTATTTGATAGTTTGCTATACCAATCAAAGGAACAAAACAATATAAAAGAACTAATAATTATACAATAACAATTTTAAGTGAAGTTGATACATTAATAATTATTGTTATTATAATATAATATTATTCAGTTTAAAACAAGTTGAATTTATAAAAAATTTATAATGAGATTTATTATGATCAAAATTAATTAAGTATTTGTTACAAGTTATTTGTTAAAAAGTTAATTTATTATTTTTGAACACGATAGTTAAATTTTTAAGGTAGAAATCTATTTAATTTTTTAACAAATGTTGTAATTGCTTAATTCTTTATTTTTTTTTCTTGGACGCAAAAACCAGAGTTTATACGACTTTATTATATTGCCTTTAAATTCAAACCTTAACTATTTTTAACCTATATATATATATAATACATATAGATATAGGTGCATATTATAGATATGTAAGTACTTAGCTATTCTTAATAAAAATATTATAATTAGAATAATTATTGGGTAATGCATGGGTTGGGTACTTACATTAACAATGTACAATTCAATAGTAATATTCCTTATATAATAGGTATTTCACTTGTATTCGAATTATTATAATGCACGGTGGTCAGTGAATCCAAAATTCCAAATTAAGTTTATAACATCACTATTAAAATAGTATTTATCAGCGTATAATCTTGTTACAATAAATGCATGCTAATAAATTAAAATTAAATCGTTTATTTTTATTTTATTTAAATTAATATCAAAAGATTATTGCAGGGCCTTACTGAGAAAAACTTGTGTGGGGAAAAATTAATATTATAAATACAATGGTCTTATAAATTTGGTATAAGAATATTTTGTTCTCGTAGTAGCATTAGAATTATTCAACCTAGCCCTGGAGAAAGTGATAAGGGATATGTCAGAAGATCGAAAAATGAACGTCGGTGAACTGAATGTTGATGACATAGTCATAATGGGAAACTCAAGAGAAGATGTTATACAAACCACTCGAAAACTGCTGAAGACAAGCAAAATGATGGAATTAGAGGTGAACCAATAGAAAACTAAAWATATGTGTATGTTGCGAACAGAGTCAGATAACTCAGATCTAGAGGTAGATAATCTTACCTTCGGAAAAGTTAATCAATTCACATATCTCGGGGTAAACACGAACAGTACAAATATTATTGCATGATGAAATTAAAAGTGCTAACAAGTGTTATTTTAGTTTATTATAACTATTTAAATCAAAGCATCTATCTTATGAATCAAAGAAAACCCAATACACCAGTTACATTAGACCGATCCTAACATATGGATGTGAGACATGGTCAACCACCAAGGAAAACCACCTGAGTGTAATTGCATTTGAAAGAAAAATGTATGGCCCTCTATATAACAGAGATACAAAATGGATTTGAAAGAATACATAATAACRAATTACGGAAGCTATACAGAAGATCTAATATTCTCTCATATACAAGAAGCAAAAGACTCAAATGGTTAGGACACGTATGGAGGGGGATGGCCAAATTATTAAACAAGCATTGATGGTGGAAATGACAGGTAAAAAACCTCTGGGCAGGGCCAGAAGAAGACGGAAGGACTCAGTCATGAAGGATCTAAGAGTACTTCAAGAAAGGGCTCAGTTAGACATGTGTACAATAGGAGAGAATGARATAAGTTTGTGATGGCAATGTTGGATCTCAATGGTCCCTTAAGCTGTATATGATGACGATGAGTAGCATTAGTGTACTTGTTAGCTAAATAATCTTAAAAGAGTTACTTTGTTTAACTTCTACTGGCAATACATTGTACATTTTTTAGGTATCCGATTTATAACTATTAAAATATGTGGATTGTTTTAAGTCTTGATGTTCGGTATAATATTTAAGCTCTCCTAATTTTGTAGGTTTGTAGAAACACTACAATTTAAATTATTTAAGATTTTAAACATACCTAATGAATATTGTAAGAATAAAGTCATTAATTATAGTGACAATATTTTTAATTTAAAACAAATAATATATATTATATGGTTTACCAAAAATGACAATGCWGCTTTGCAGTGCTGAAAACTGTTTTTTCTTCATTAAACTAAATTTGAAACGAGTGATCAGTAAATATTGTTTTGCATTGTTCTTCTTAAGGTCTTAGAAACATCATTGTCCATCAAGCGCATTGCTGTTACAATCTTAAAACATAAATAATAAAACATAAGTCGGTTAATTTAACTTTAATTTTTAAATTACCGATTCAGATCTATATTGTCTATTATCAGTTAAATTATCTTCTGCATTTCTTGGTTCATCATTTTCATAATGTGCTACAGTAGTGTTYGGAGTAATATTTGTTGAAAATAAAATAGAATTGTCTAATTTTTCAATCAAAGTAGTAACTAGTAATAATATTAATTCCTTCATTATCATACTTCACGTTAGTTAATGCCCGTGAAGTAAATTACTTGAATGCTGAAACATAAATTGAAAATTTTAGATACAAAATTCAAAATTGTTTGGACATTTTAGAAGTAATACATAAAAATTTATTTATTACTCCTGGTAATTTAATTCAACGCCTAGTTGTTAAGCCTATTTGTTGTGACTGTGATGATGATGATTCAGTGAAGGAAGATATTGAACAGCTACAKTAATTCAATTTTATTATTTTATACTTTGATGAATCACCCACATTATAACTTTATATTGCTGTTGTATTCTCATATCCAAATAAAGAATGACATGGACTAGGAGTTGTTGAGCTATTTGGAGAATCCTGAATATCAAATGGCTTGAATGTCTTGTTAATGTTAGAGTAATGTCCATTGTCATTCATAGGTTCAGGGGTTCATAATAGTTTTTATACTTATTTATAGGTCTAAATCTACTGAAACAAAATTTTTATTTCAAAAATACCTATATTTTTAAATACTATTTTGGCCTTATATTAGAGAAATTATACATAATTATATCATTAAAGAGCCCAAAACTATAGCAAACACCAGGATTCACTTCTTGTATTCTAATCAATTTTGTCAACTCAGTATGGAGTAATGTTAGGCAAGTTTCAGGTAAGAATTATAGAACAACTTTATATTTCAATAATTTTAAAGTTAAGAAACTGTAATTTGATGAAAACTACTTTGTACTGACCACTCTAATAAATAGGTTGGTACTGTAACACATTTTCTTAATAATTACTATTATTTGTATTTGATTTTATTATTGGAGTTGCTTATATATATTTATATATTTATATTATTATTATATATATATTAATATATTTATACTTATATATATATATATTGCTTATATACATACATTTGTGAAGTATAATATAATTTATTCAATTAAACAATTTCAAATTAAATCAAGTTATTATAAACTGATATGATTGGGTACCCATATTATTCGGTGCCTATAATAAAGTAATACGAAATACCTATTATATTATTATAATTATACAACTACCCTTATTTAAAAAAATTTTGTTTCATTTACAATCGATACGATATATTTTAATTATACATTTTCTTCAAATTTTTCAGGATTTACATTATTTAGCTAATTAATATTTAGTGGAACAACAATTTAAAAATTAAATAATTAAACTAAAGGCTGAATCATATCATACGAGAATAAATAAATATATAATAATAAATTACATACCATAAGATTGTATTCTTATTATTTTAATATCATTTGCAATAACTTGTGTTAAGACTTGACATTATAACCTAAGATTTGTAAATAATTTAATAACATGAAAGATTGTACATGAAGAGAAAGTTAGGTAGAAAATTGATCAAATTATAGATAAAAGAACATAGTGACTATTTGAGTATTTTTTTTGCACATTGAGACAATTTGATACTCTTCTGTTCTCTTGTTCTCTATCATATTTGTGAAATACCTACTCTTAAATATTTTAATAATCAAATTAAATAATATAAGCATATCAAACTAAATTTACCTGATTTATATCTTCAACTTGCAATTTATTCAAGTGCGATTCACATAGGCAATTATTTGAGCGTAACAAGAATTCCTTGTGAATTAATAAAAGCAATTCCATTTTCCCTTCTATAGTTTTACAATCATTTTTCATCTACAACAAAAATACAAAGTTTAAAAATTAAAATGTATTTGGTATTTTATTGTAATATTATTATGTTTATATATAACATATTATATTTGTTAGTTTAAATATCTATTACTTTTCCAATTATATCGGCAGCCAAAATAAATTTGTTGCAGTTTTCATACGCTAAGGTTTGCATATTAGAATGTAAAGATTGAATATCATAATGTTTTTTTTCTTTCATGATCTATCAATTGTTTAAAATTTGACCCCTGTAAATCATAATGAATTAATATACTTCATAGACACAAAACATTTCATATTAATCAACTTATATTAAATCTAAACGGTCTGGATTTGCAGAATATACTTAAAACTCTATTGCTATGACATATAGAAGCCCTTTAAAATTTAAGCTGGACACACACAATTAAAAATTATTCAACTGACAGAAATTATAATAATAGTATAATTAAATAAGAATCATTTTTAACACAAAGTAATAGGTTTAGTTGTCAAATAAGATTATTGAAGAATCATWAATGTAATTTATAATAGGTTTTAGTTTTTTTTAACCTGAAACTTGCAGTTTGCACCGTTAATATCAAAAGGACTTTCTGGTTTAATTTACATTTTAGGACAATATGTAACAACTGTCTAGCCCAGCACTAAGGAATTATTATAAACCCATCTATTGATAAGGAATTCCTCTTATCGGCAAATGGTCACGGCCAATTCGTAAGATGAGTTGCCTATAGTATGCCCCTGATCAAAAATTACAATATTATATTATTATAATATAATATGTTATTATGATTAATTACCTATACAATTATAATATAATTTAATTTAATTTAATTATTTTTGACTAAATGCTTGCATTAAATTTGAAAATACTTCTTGTTAAAAAAAGCAGTTTTTTAACTTTTTAAAAATGTTCTGCAAATCCAGACATCTTATATTTAAATTCGATTGATCAATTTTCTTTAGGTATTTAAATTACAACATTCTCCTCTTATAAACAATATTAGACAACTTTAATATTCTATAACAGAATCAGGTTTTGACATTCGTCAACAAATTCTTCAAATATACGTTATCCCTTCGAATGCCGCTCCCAAAAAAACAATTCTGCGGTTTTACRCCATCCACAACCGCTGGGTTTGTATGACCAATTTATGGCTTATATACTAGGAAACGCTAACACCTTATTTCGCTACGTCTTGGACCTACTCATCGTAAAATGAAATTATATATCTCCAACCAACTCACCAAAACCAGATGATTTCACAYCCTTATATCTCTGTAGGAAATTAACGATATCAATCTGCCTTCTTCGATTTGGCCACACGTCAGTCCCCCTTCATTTCTTTGAACTTTCAATGAACCATTTTCTACATACTCCACAACTTATGATTTGTGACATTATATTTTTTATTTTTTAACTACGCTAAGGCTAAGTGATCAACGCAACACATGACTATCTATTGAACTTATTGAAATCCATAATATTATATAATTCTCATATATCAACAAGAAAATTGTGTACTTCCAATAATAGGTATTCTTAAACTTTCTATACAATATAATAACATTTTCTTTTTTTCTTACCTAGATTATATATATAATTATTAAAAAATATATTTCAATCACAGTAAGAAAATAGTATCTTATCTCCACTTGTCAGTCACGTGTACTTAAAATGAGTGTTACGATATCTATAGGCCAAGTCCCGATCCAGCCGTTACGATTTGTAGAATTACTACCTGTCAGTACAGAGGAGTAACTTTTCATCGAACGTCAATAAACTTCTGGGAATGAGGATCAATAATTATATCTAGATAAGCATCACTATAACTTGTGGGTTTTGTTGAGTTTTATTGTAGGATTAAAATAATTTTTTTGTCGTCCTCGTGTGGTGACAGCTTTCTGTAGTGACACTTATTTCTATTTTCAAATGAAAATGCTGTGATTTTTATTAACTTTTTAATGTATAATTTCTTTAAAAATCTGTATGTACCATATTCAATATTTTAAAGGAGTCCTATTCCTATATATAATCAATGGTATTCGCAGGTTTATTACAATATTAATTTATATATTAAAATATAGTCATAACTCATAATTAATTATGATATGAAGGTATTCTAGCGGAAGCATCCTTTTTCGGGAACATGATCCTTTAGGGTTTATGGCCATGGCCTTACAACTGCGTACCGTGTATTGCGTACGATGGGGCTCCCCTTTCCCTCAGTACCAATGAGGTTTAAAGTTGATATCGGTGGGTCAACCCGTGATGCATGCATCACTCCCACTATTTTGGCTTCCCAGGCYGGCTAGTGGTTGGCCTTATTTATTTAATGACTAAAAATTTACCTTTGTGTATTAATTGATACTAAAATTAGTGATAGTAAATAGTATATCGTCAGGAATATAAAATAATATAAAGTTTATTACAAATTATAGGTAGGTTTTTCAGATGTAATTTAAGTATTAAATTACACAATTACGCTATGCAATAGTGCACATGTAAAGAAGGTTAACCCTCTACAGGCAAGGCCCGGTCACGGGTGACCGGACTAAGATAASACATTAATAACTAGATTATAACATTAAATACTATGCACCGGATTATCCATTACCCTTTTATAGATAAGTCCACCGTTTGCCTGATATATTTTTGCTTATCTGCTATACCTCAGTAAGCTTCCAGCTTACAGATCGTGAGTTTTTTTTGGGAAAAGACCAAGAAACTATTTGGTCATCTCAACCACTTATAAATTCAAGTTGTTTTTTTTTTTTTTTTTATAAATATACATTACCATTGATTATACTTTAGTATGCATATTAGTATTAATTATGATAATTAAAAATAAAGAGAATTTATAAAAAAGTTTGATTATTTCTAATATAAAATTACATTGGTCACCCGTGACCACCCTTGTCTGGTCTGTTGGAATTTATAGGCTTGCCTGTGGAGGGTTAATACACAATTGCATAGAGAGTGAAGTCCAGTCAGTTACAGTGGCTACCAGCTTTAACCAATATTGCTCCACCAGACCTACGAAGAAAGTAGAAACTTATTAATATTATCAAAAAAKCCGAAGAAAGGAGGAATTCACTACTAGCCGAAAGATTAGAAGACAAACCAACACTCAGACTAAAATCAAAGAAACCACCTTGGAAGACCGCCAAAGACCTAATAAGATCAGAATTTGAAACTAATAAGTACTGGTGCAATAAATGGACTAATTCTACTATACCAATCAAAAACCAAAACCTGGTGCTGGACCCAAATCAAGGAGTTATGGGTATGGAACTGCCTGGACATGAGTGGTCTGTACTAAATCGTCTTYGAATAGGCCATGGTCGTTGTGCTGATATGATGTTTAAATAACGACTCCAAGTCAGCCTAGCATGCGATTGCGGCGACGATAGACAAACCATATATCAGTATATCATATTATAAATGAATGTCAATTAAAGAAATTCAACCTAGGTATCGAAGGAATTCACGGCATAACACCGGAAACAGTAAAGTGGATAAGGAACTGGACGTACAACTGWAAACTGTTCACGCGTCATTATATTATATTATTTTATATATGTTATATATCCTTAAAAATTTTCAAGATCAATTTAACTTAATTTCTGTTGTTTTATATTTTATTTTATCATTTRATTTTTTTTATTATCATTAAAACTAAATATTTGTTTTAATGTTGATTTGTTAAGCCATACGAATAAATAAATAAGTATTAAATTATAATCATATTTAAGTATAGGAAACGGGATGTACATATTATTATGAAATTTAAAATTTTTCATTGTTTATAAATGTTATTCAAAATAAGATAAATAATTTATAATAATTTAGGTATATATTATATATTATATATCAAGTATTATATATATATATATACAAATACAAGACATGAAGACTTGATGAGAGAAGTAATGTAGCAGTACCACTCAAAATTCTCATAATTTATAATTGATAAATATATTAATTTAATGAGATCAACAATTTCTACCATGTTCAAATTAAATAAATCTAGGTAGATGTAATAACTACCTTTTTGAATTTAAAATCTATGACAAATAAAAAAAAATTAAGCACCAAAAAGTTAGGAAAGAGCTAGAAATTTTAAATGGTAATGAAGACAGTGAATATCTTAATTTATCAACAGATATTGAACTTCATATTTTAATACCTATTGTTAATACAAATGATAGTTTAGTACATATTGCTGAAAGTGTTAGAAAAATAAATTTAATATAAAAAATGTCTAAAAATACTAAAATAATAGTAGTATGCATTTATTTTTCAATTTAAGAAATTAATTATATTTGATGGTACTATTAGGTATGTATAAATACTTATATTTATGTATAAATCATTTTTTAAGTTTATCAACACGATTATTCTGTATTGGAAATTATGATTAATGAAGTTTGAGCATAAYGTATAGCATTTTTCAGTAAATAGATCATAAAATAAAAAAACAGTGTGTGTTACCAGTATGCGCGCGGGAAGTTAAACTTCTTTTGAACGGTACACGTGAGTTAGTGAAAAAGAAAGAAAGGCATGGATAGACTGCAGGGATAATGAGGATAATAAAGAAAGAAAAGAAACAATGTAAATTATATTTTTTATGCTAATGATTGAACGACCGTCGACCGAACGGATTGGCGAACAACAACGACGGTGAATAACCTAGTTCGAACTCGAGATTATTATTTCGGTAATATTATATTGTAAATTATAATCATTAGGTAAAATAAAAATACCTACTATTTTTACTAAATCCAGTCGTACGTAGTACGTAAATAAATCCAAGTAACCATTAAAATTTAAAATATTAAAATAGAAACTACTTATTACTTAATAACAATATTAACAATGGCTAAAAGCACACTGGATACGTGCACAACTTGGCCTCCACGGGAACGCAAACCGCCGTCGCCACTTCCACCCACCCGCCAATAGAAAAACCGCCTCGCCGCACGACCATGACCTTAAATCGCAAGTCGCGACTGCGTGTGTATGATATTATTATTATCATCGTCGTCGTCGAAACCGCATCGGCTGTCACCGACCAGGGTGACCTTAACCGTTAAATATTGGTACGGTATCGGTTCCATACTTTGTTTTTGAACTTTAATTGCGATAAACGTTAAATTAAGTTATCTTCAACAAACGGTTATAG